AAAAAAATTCAAAGCCTACAGCATTTTCAAAGGGAAAACATATATAAAAAAGGGACTGAGAACTCAAATGGGGAGAAAAACATCAAGAATACTGCCATATGTTTTGCTTTATCGCATCCTGTAAACACCTGACCCGCCCAGTGACATTTCACAATAAGAGGCTACACTTTAAAAACCACACACTTCAGAGCTAGCTGACTTCAACAGCTCAGAACTACTACAGCAGCTCTTATGCACACCATGCTGGTGCCTTACGTGTATGGGGCAGGAGAAGAAGTCCTTCTGGAGCTAGAGTAAACAGACATTTCAAATAATTAATTAAAATAACTTAAGTTTCATTCCTTATCTGATTTAACTTGAGAAACAGGTTTGGAATAATGTCTCAACACTTACTGGTTCTTCTTTAACAACTAAGCATAAATCACCGTCACTGCTCCGGGCACCGAATCCATTTAAAGACGATCCAACCAAAAAAAGTCTGCTTTCTAGAGATGCAGAAGAAAACAGTAAGAAAGTCTGCAGCTTGTAAACAGAAGCATAGACAAGAAAGGCATGCAAAGTAGGCAGACGTACGTGGGAAGAGCAGCTGGATCTCTCTCTGCAGCTGTGCTCTACAGAGTTCTTTCTTCTTCAAGTCACTTGTTTGCTGCTGACAAGTTTCAAACAACTCTAATATCTGCTGACTCAGCTTGAATACACCACAAAAGAAAACAAAAAAAAAAACAAAATATTTAGTCAGAAATTTATAACTACTCTACTAAGCATTATAAATCAATGACAACATTAAAAAATACATACTCTCTTCTTAACACTTTCTGATTCAAAGCTATTGTTACTCACATACAAAGAATGGCCTGAACTATACATAAATTTAAAAAATAAAATATTATTTAATTGACAGTAAAGTAGTCAGATAATTCATGAGTATAATTGTAGCTCAGCAAACTAACACCTTTTCGTCACTGTCTGTTTTTATGAGGATCATGAATAATTTTTATACTTTTAAGAGTCATAATCACAAGGAAGAATATGCAAAGTAAATAAGAGTAGTCAATAGAAACCATATGTACATTACATATTCTAAAATATTTACTATAGGTTTCTCTCAAGAAGTTTTTTCTCCTTCTAGTGGTCTTACTGATGAATGTCATAAAGAGCAGGTTTTAGAACATTCCCATCTTCCACATTCAAACAAACTACCCTCTATTCTAGTTTTTATAACTTTCTCTGAACCCTGACTTCTTCCAATGAAGTTACCATCTGCCAATCTCCCTTATTTAAATAGTTATGTTAACATTTCCCTTTCACCCCAACTCTTGCCATTAGCACAGGATGGTAAGATGATAAAGGATGCCCTTATCTGTAGTGAGCTATACTTATCATAATATACTCTACTTCTGAAATTCTTTCACTATAGTATTTCTCACTTGTGTACTCTCATAGCTATGTGTTCTAGTCCTGATATTTTAAATCCCATTATACTACTTCAGCTTCAATTTCCTGTTCGACACAGTCTCTTATCACCCCCACCTCTAATGGATCTGCTCTAGACTTAGTCAGGAGTCCCTTGAAATGCTTTTTCTTCCATTCCATCAGCACCCAAATGATCCTAATGCCCTATCCTATGCAGCCACTATCCCAGAATACGTCTCCCAAACCATCTCTTTCATCATGCCTTTGAAACTTTATCCCTCAGGCTCTAATGTTTATGCTGCAAAATCCTCATCTGAAGGCAAAGAAAACACTAAAAGTAAACCTAAGGTACTAAAAGACAAAACTGAAAACTTTTAGGGAAGTCTTTCAAAGGTTTGGTATAAAGGTTAGCCTAGTTTAGTGTCCTTAGCATCACTCAGCCTTTACTCTCCTGTCTCTGCTTAGATACTGTTCCCATTTTTCACTATTTCATTCCAAAATGTTTACTGCCTAAACTTACTTTCTCTTGCAGATAGCTCATATTAATATTTTTCTAAGAAAAGCCAAGCGTAGTGGTGCACATCTGCAAATCCCAGCACTCAAGAGGATGGAGGTAGGAGGATCAGGAGTTCAAGGCCATCCTTGGCTTCATAGAAAATTCCAGGACAGCCTAGGCTACATGAGATCCTGTCTCAAAAGAAAAAAAAAGGGGGGAGAAACTAAGAAAATTAAAAATACCAAATATAAGTCCTCATCTTGCTAAAGCACATAAATTAATAGCTCTGAAGGAAATCTCACCTCTTTCCTTCTGTTAAGACAAAGTATCCTGTTGCCAAGGCCCTCTACCAGTGGTTTTTTTTTTTTTTTTAATATCTAAGCCTGTTGTTCACCTCAGGAGCAGAAACACCTTCAACAATTCTTCAATCTCTTTTGTGTTTTCAGCCTCTCTTAAGCCTCTCACAGTCTACGTATGACCAGACAAAAAGTCTCATTCATCATTTA